CTCTCTGCTATACATCCACCCAATCCGCCATCTTGTTTGTTTTTTCCGCAGTAGAGTTTTTAATAGTCATAACATTGAGCATCAGAGATGAACATCTGAGAATGATCACATCAGCAGATTATGTGCTGCAGCATTGTGTGTAGTGTATATGACTAATGATAAGATACACAAGAACCCCAAAAAACATGTAAGTGCAGTTCATTGTAACGCGAATATGTCATAAATTGGGGATCACCTGTTTTTCTTTTATGAGATGTCTTTTCTGTCATTTGCCCATTGTTTGTTCGGATTCTTTAAACTTTTTTATTTTATGGACACCTGGTGTGGCACTGTAGAATCAGCCTTCTTACTTATATATGTATGCATATATAGTATACATAGTAGTCCTGGTGTGGCGCGGTGCATTAATGCAGTGGACTGCAGAGTTGTTTTGAACAGTTATGATGGTGGTTCAATCTCACCAGTTGCTCCTAGGAAACCCTAAACAGGGCCGCTATGGGTCAGAATCGACTTGATGGCATTTAACAAGTTTGTTATACTTGTTTCAGATATATTTTCCTAAAAATTTTTGACTTTTAATGTTGTTAAGCTTTTTCACCTATGATGTTAACGTCTATAAAATACACAGGTCTCTTAACCTGAATCTTTATTCATGTGCTTTGATTCTGTGTATATGTAGTAAGATTTGTTACTAAAACATTTTTGTGAGTTTTTTTTTGTAAACTGTCATTGTATTTGAATGCAAGATTTTTCTATCCCTGTTTGTATCTTTTCAGAAAGTGATAAAATTAATATATATTTGTACCATTCTTCTATTTAATACTTGCATTCATAATAGAGTTAACTTTTTAGCTGCTTTCACTATAAAGAAGCACTAAAGGGATGAGTTTTTTAACTTTTTCAGATTTGGTTAATAGGTGATTGGGGTATGGAGAACCAGACTGAAATCCAAAGAGTACTTCAAATAAAGTGTCTCAGTGTTGTTACATGGTTGTTGTGTTCTTCTGTTGTATAGTGTTTTGGGAATGTCTTTGGAATCTGTTCCTGTGAGTGAAAAGAAGGAAGAAGAAGAGGCAAAAGAGATGGAAAAAAAGAAGGAAGAAGATACTCCAGACGGTACCACACAGTGTATAGGTGATGAAGGTAGTGTTGTGCTTTTTTGCAGGATAATGGATTGTTCTAAGTACCTTTAACATGAGTAAATGTCTAAATATCTCCTCTTTATCAGGTTATGGATTTCTGACCAGAAAAGTAATTTAAGAGTATATGTTTAAAAATTTGCTAGGTAGTCTACCAAATTTGGTGTTTAGGAATTTGTAGCTCATTAGGTTGCCCCTTTTCATTATATTGACCTGTTCTCCTATGTTCAGATATTTTTCAAATAGAAAGGGCTTCAAATAGTTTGTGGGAAAATTTCATTATCTTTTAAATTCTGTTTTCCATGAACTTTTTGAAGTTCCCTTCTATTCTTAGAAGATGTGCTTTGTAGGATGGAAGTATAGTCTGAACTGTGTGTATGTGTGTATATAGTTTATAGGAAGTTGGTAATAGTCTACTATTGTGAGGTGCTTGTAAGGTTTTATAGTACACAGTTTTTTGCTTCATTACACTTTTTTCTCCTTCATTTTTAATGCTTTTATTCTTAATTTTCTTTTGAAAAATATTGGGAGGTAGAGCTTTCATGTGAGGACTTATGCATAGGACAGTAACATACAGAATGCATACTTTCTTGGGGTGATGCCTAAATTCTTGGGGTTTTGGTCCTAGATCCTGCCTCATCACAGTCAGGCTTTGGAGTTTTGGAACTCTCCCAGAGCCAGGATATTGGAGAGCATACTGCACCATATGAAGTGAACAAAGAGCACCTACAGTCAGTACCTGCTGATTCAGGGCATACCAGGCTATCTGATGTGGCTGCTAGCATTGGTATGGAACATGTTTTATGACATTGGTTTATAAGTGTTTTCTTTCCATACTGAAGCTAGTAATTTTTCTTTGATAAGTTTTATAACTATCTTAAGTTTATATAATTTAATATAATAAGGAACCCTGATGACATTGTGAATTAGGCTTTGGGCTGCCAAGTGAAAGGTCAGCAGTTGAAACCACCAGCCACTTCACCTGATGAGGCTGTCTGTTCCCCTAAAGATTTACATTCTAGCACCCTAAACTGTTGTGTGTCAGAATTGACTCAATGACAGTGAGTCAGTTTGGTAAATTCTTGTCAAATCATTGCAGATTGAGATTTTTTGGAATGAGAGACTAATTGTTAATTTACTTCTGGGCATGATGTCTATATACCTTTTCAAATTGGACTTTCTGTTACAATCTTACCATTTTAAAAGCATTTGGGACTGCTTTTAGTACTTTGGAAAATTAAATATCTCTCCTGTCTTCTTCTAAAACTTTAAGTAATTGAGCATGGAGAACAGTCCAATGAAGATATCCCCATGGTAGACCCACCCAACAAGGATGTCCCCGTGGTAGGAGAGAACAATAAGGATGCACATGTGATGGAAGAGCAAAACTCACCACCTGAAAGGTGAGCCATGTTCTTTCTAGCAGTTGTTTATAAGTTTCTGCTGTAAGATTGTTATTAATTTCGCTTTGTCAGGTGGAACATTTTAGAAATTCATTTTTTCTATATATTGGGAATAGTTTTGATCCTATGGTGTGGTGGTTGTGTGCCACTGAGTTGGTTCCAATTCATAGTGACCCTGTATAGGGTTTTCAAGGTTGTAAATCTTACCAGGAGTAGAAAACCTCATCTTTCTCTCTTGGGGCAAATGGTAGATACGATCTGCTGACTTTGTGGTTAGCAGTCCAACTTGTAACGTACTACACTATCGTAGATAAATATTATCCAGTAAAAACATTGATTATTCATGAATTTCACTCTGTTCTCATCTTTAGGAATTGTTGGTAAGTGCCATAGAGTCGCTTCCAACTCATAGCAACCCTGTGTAGGGTTTCTGAGGAGTGGCTGGTGAGCTTGAACTGCCGATCTTGCAGTTCAAACTGACCCTACAGTCAAGTGCATTATTACAATTATTTTATTGCTACTGTTAGTTACTATAAACATAACTCTTGAATCTTTGGTTGCCACTCCTCCAATGTTATGAAGAGTCACACGAATATTTATATTGGCGAGCTTAACTATTTCAGTCCCTGAACAGCACCCAGATTGCTTTGGGTTCTCAGTTGTCATGCATCTGGTAGTTTATGGCATAGATTCAGAGAGGCATTCTTATCCCAGATCCTTTAGGCTTTTAACTTGGTAGAAATTGGAAAATATTCCTACTAGGAAGTATGCCTCTGCTCTGTCTGTGGTGATTATTTATCTGAAACAGTATTGCCTCTGGCCAACAATTGAAGTTTGGAAATGACAGAGGAAAAGTGGGGTGCTGACTGGCTGACATTTGGGATTGTATATTCTAGCCAGTTTTGTTTTCTGTTTACCCTGAGAAATGGTGGAATAGGTGGAAGAGGACAGCAATGATTGTCTTATATGTATGAGTGTTATTGGTATGAAGGGGTCTTAGTTTGGGGACTAGGTTGGGTAGATCAAATAGAAAGGGCCAGCATAAGATAATTTGTGTGGTAGTAACAGAAGATAATTTATAGCCAAGTAAAATGGAAGGACATTGTTAGGATTACTTTCCGTACTGGCTTTGCTGTAGTCTGGATCAGAAGCCTTCATATAGGTCTACTACATATATAACAAAAATTCGTAAATCACTTATCCGAAATCTTGGGAAGTATGCGACATAGTAGTGAACAGAAGTGAAGAGAGGTATTCTGTATGAGAAATTGGAACAGGCTTTGTAATGGGCTTTGCATCATTATAACAAGTAGTTAAATTTCCGTAGATGGTTATATAGACTAGAGTTACAGGAAACTTTGAAACTTAAGAAAAACACACAAAATAGAAAATAGCTTTTAGTTAAAAGGTGAAAGTACTTAAACTTACTGACTTCTTCACGTGGTAATATGAATTTCTTAGGCCAGAAGACATTTCTTCTAGTCCCAAAGTATCTCTTGTTGCTATGGAAACAAAAGAACAAATACCTGCTCGACAACTTCTGGAAGGCGAACTGCAGATTCAGAAGTCTCCGGAGCCTGACATTTTGTCAACCCAGCAAGACTTGTTTGACCAGAGCAATAAAACAGGTACAAACTATGATAGATAGATGCTATAGTTCATCTCCAAATATCTTAACTGTTAATCCTTTTCCGAGGCTATTATTTGTGCTCTATAGGTATGCAGACTTGTTTGTGATGTTGAAGGAAAACATGTTTCTAGCTTATTAGTAAGAAGGGCTCTCTGGAAATGATTGCTATTTTAATATTTTAGCACTGTTTACTCTTTTTGAAATAGAGATATTGAATAATAATAGTTAATACAGTAAATTTAGTACTGTAGACAAAATAACCATTGCCACTTCTGTCATATGTTTACAAAGCCTTCAGATCTTAAGCATGATAATTCAGTTTAAGTTTCTCATACTCACTTGGGTAACCATCTACTTGCTTATTTGTTAAATATTTCATCTACTAGAAATGGGAAGCTATGGGTCAACAGAAAGAAGATAGAATTTAGAAGATGACGATAGCATTTATTTCACTTTTTTGTCCCCCAAGTCTCCCATCTTAGAAAGCCAGAAAATTTCAGTAATAACCACTGAAATACAATGTTTTGACTGTATGTAAAGAAGAGATGAAAGCTATATTCCATTACTGTGATGTAGGTTTCTGTGACTCTTTTTGGTCTCTCACTAAAGCTGTACACTATAAGAAGCTCATCTACACTTGGGATTGTTGTTGTTAAATGCTGTTGCATCAATTCTGACTCATATCCTCTGTAGGGTATCTGAGGAGCAGGTGGTGGGTTTGAACCACTGACCTCACAGCAGCCCAGAGCTTAGCCAACAGTGCCTTACCAGGACTCCAAACAGAGCATATTAGTTTAAACAGAATTTCTTGATGGTTCAGTGTGAGGTATGAGAGCAGACAAGAGTAAAGGATGGTTCCAAAGTTTTAGTTTAAGCAACTGGCTGTTGTTGTTGTGTTGAATGCCCTTGAGTTGGTTCTGACCCATAGATACCCTATATAGGGTTTCTGAGGAGCCGCTGGTGAACTTGAACCACCGACTTTGCAGTTCAAACAGCTTTGAAGTCCGGTGCATTAACCCACAGCGCCACACCAGGACTCCTAAGCAACTGGAAGGATGAGTTAATTAGCTGAGATGTGGAAGGATCCAGGTGAAAGAGGTTTGGTAAACAAAGACTTTCGTTTTGTTTACTGAATTAGAGATACTTATCAGACATTTAAGTGGTGATATGTCAATAAAAGTTATTTCGGATTAGTATAATTTATATTCCACCCATTATTAAGGAGAAGAAACCAACAAGAGACTCTACATAGTGTAAATTAGTAATGTTAAGTGTCGTCGAGTCAGTTCTGACTCATAGTGACCCTGTTTGGGGTTTCAGAGGAGCAGCTTAAGGGTTTGAACTCTGGTTAGCAGTCTAGTGCATATCCTATAGCAAACACCACATGGCTGCTCTTACATCTTTTTACTATATTGTATTAGTATTTTTACTATCTCCTTTGAGGAGGCCCAGGTTCTAATCATATGAAATTTGCTACATTCATACTGTAAGGAAAAGAAAGACACGAAAGGAAGTAAAGAGTCTTGGCTTCAACAGCAGGCAGGTTTATTGAGAGTAAACCTGGGAGGGGGTACTGTCACCAAAGGAGACCAAGAGTCCTTACAGACTGGAGTACTTATAGTCCGTGTGGTCTGGGTGTAGTTCTGGTGAGTTTACAATGGGTGGGGTACGGAGATTTGGGCAGGGGTATGGAGATTTTCCTGAAACCTGGAATTTCGGAGGGGGAGGGTCTCCAAGTATAATAAAGACCCAAGCTTCCTGGGAGATCAGAAGCTCAAGCCAGACCCCATTCAGTGTCAGTTGATCAGGCCAAAGTCCTTCACATACCATCAGGTATTTTTTTTTTTGAAAT